ACATCCCATACTAAGCCAAAGAACTATTGGCAGCTAATTGCTGCTGGGTGAGGGAGTGCTGATCTTCTTTAAGGGGTGACTCTAGATAGGCTGACTAGACCGCAGTGGATGAACTAGCACTGTGGCTATTGGAGTACAGTAACTTGACTCCCTAGGCCTTACTATATATGCCAGAATGCATGAAAATTGGTGGTGGGGCTATAGGAGGGTATGGATGGGGGAGGTGGGTATAAAGATGATTTAGATGTTTTGTATCAAATGTACAAAAATTCAGTAAAAATACTTTGAAGAAAAAAAAAAGCAGTGTGTAGATGAGGTCAAAAAGCAGACCAAAATGGCCCTTGAGAGACTGTGGGGAGACTGGAGTATGGTCAGGACCTCAAATCTTACTAGATTGCTGTTAATGCTGTCTTTGGAGTGACATGGTTTTACAGTATTGCAGGATATGCCCTTATCCCTGTGATGCTCTGTGACTGTTCACAGTGATGTCATCAGATCACAACATGTGTCCAAATGGATCAGAAAATGAGAATGGAAGAAAGACAGAGAAGAATGAAGGTGAAAAAGGGGGGGGGGGGACGGACAAATGACAAAATAATTTAAGAGGTTAGAGAGATGGCTCAGCAGTTAACAGCACATACTGCTCCTGCAGAGGACCCAAGTTCAGCTCCCAGCATCTGTCAGGTAGCTCACAACAGGCAGTTCACAATAAGCTGTAATTCCAGCTACAGGGGGAGCCAACGTCTCTGACCTCCATGGGCACCTGCACTCATATGTACACACACACACATAATTAAAACTAAATAAATCTTAAAAATATATATCAAAAAGTAAGCACTGATGAGTACAGGTAAACAGGTACAAAGAGTACCACACACCATCCACCAATCCATCAATTTTTCTCTAGGCTTAAGTATATATTAAAAATGTCCTTAGATATTTGGCTAAAATTAAGAATAAAAAAATCTAAAATTACAACATCTGAGTGGAATATATCAAGAAAATCCATTCTTAGGTAAACAACTTGAGCTTTAAAAAAATTCAGCCTAAAATGTATTGAGCCTTTCTCTGTTCATTCAAATATAATGAGATGTACTTTAGGATCTGTAACTGACACAGAGTATACTAAACCTTACTCTGCAAACTGTTCTACTTAATGATGCACACAGGCAAGCCTTTAAGTCTCAACTGCACCATGCCATGGGTATTTTATTAATGGAGCACTGTGACCACGAGCCCCTCTAGGGTGCACTGTGGTTGTTTGGCATTGTCTATGTAGAAACTCTGCTGCTGGGAACACCATCTCATAAATGGGTCTTCTAACTCTACCAGAAGGCTTTGTAAAAGCACAGCAGCTGGGTCAAAGAGGGCTATCCTTTATTTTACAATCTAAGACCAGATTAACTTCCGAAAAGATCACAGCAAGACATAGTCCTAAGAACCTGGAGTGTGCCTGCCCTTGTACTACATCTACACAATTAAATTACCAGTCTTTTTGAATGTGCTGTCCTTCTAAGATGTCATCTGAGGGCAGCTGAAGTGAGCAGTCACTGCAGCTAAAGCAATTCTCCTGCTCCTTGCAAAGACACACACTCCCTTCTTCAACTCCCATTGTACCCTTTCACCTCTCTATGGCGCCCAAGAAGTTAAGAGGAGCTTTTTCTCACTCACTCACATGTTTTTCATATCAAGTGAAACAAAGAACTGTTGACCATCAGGAAGGTATCACTGATTCATTTGTTCATTCAAAAAGCATTAACTAATCACCTACTGTGTGTGAGACACTAATAAATACCACTAAATACACAATTAAACTAGAATAACATGATCCTCATATTCCAGGTGTTATGAGATAATTCAACATTTAATCATTAGTTGTACAATTACTAGTTTAACCAGAGCGGCAATACCTGCTTTGAAGAAGGCCTGGGACAGATTGCAATGGAAATATTCAAGCCCAGTACACAGAACTGGGAATGGCCTAGGATGGGATTATAATATTCCTCTATCTATGTTTTTAAATTATTGTTAATTTTTAAAGCTAACATACAAAATAATGTTTTTTTAACAAAGGTAAAATATTTATTGGTTCTTATTTAAGAATGTAAAGTGACTCTGTATCAATGTAAATAAGATGATCTATTACAAAAAATATTTAAAACCTAAAAAAATGGGTTTCATTAATATACATCATTCTATCTATGGTTTGATAAAGCTGACATTACCAGTTGACTGTAATGTGATTTATGATGTGATTTTTTTTAAATATGTGGTTTTATCATTAAAATGGTAAGGGAAAGATGGATGGAATTATTTGATTCTTTTTTTAAAATTTCATGTGTATGAGTAGTATTGCCTGCATGTATGTAAGTCCACCCCTGTTATACACTGTTCTCAGAAGTCAGAAGAGGGCTTCAGATCCTGGAACTGGAGTTATGGACGGTTGTTAGTTGCCATGTGGGTGGTGGGAACAGAACGTGAGACCTCTGGAAGAGTAGTCAGTGTTCTTAACCACTGAACCATCTCTCCAGCCCCCAATTATTTGATTCTTGAAGCTAATTTATAAGACAGGCTATCACTCCATTTAAAAATATTGAGTAAGAGACTCACAAAGTAATGTCACAAAATCAAAGAAGTCCTAAATAGTATGAGGACAGGATGTAGACTCAGGTTCTGTGATACCACAATTATTCAAAGTGAGGAATTTCAAGACTAAGCCTGGAAAATAAATCCATCTGTGCTATAAACTGCACTTTCTCAAGTTAGGGTGATAAGGCAGACTATACAAGGCATAGTAAGTAAAGTCACTTAAAAATATGCATGTTGTTATCAGATGGGGCCTGTGAGTCAAAACAAAAAGTATTCCTTTCAGGAGTCAACAGAAGAAAAGAATAACTTTCAGTTAGGACCAACACTAACCTAGTATTTTGAGAAGCTGCCAGATGCCACACTGATATGCTATACCCTATCAGTATTTAATGGAAAAGTCACTCGACAAAATATTCTTACTTAAACCATCTAGAATTTATAATCTTACTATTCAAGTTCATATAAGTAAAACTTAAATTTTTCAAAAATCTAATAATTCAGCAACTACATTAAAAAATTTAGAAGTTACCTAGGCATAGTGGGTCACCCCTCTAAACCCAGTACTTGGGAGGTTAAGGCAGGAGGATTGCAATAAATTCAAAGACAGTCTGGGCTACACAGCAAGTCTGAGTCTGGTCTAGGTTACAGAGTGAGAACCTGTCTCAAAAAACAAAAACAAACAAACAAATCCAAAGGTAAGGTGGGGGAAGGGAAGCCCTCAGAGAATGCTCTTGCAAGTTCTTTAAAATCCTTCAAGAACAAGCTTATGAAGCAACTTATTTCTATCTACATATGCATGGTTTACAAACAGACCAACTAGGCATGTGTTCCAAGCATTCACTCACCTCACTGGGGGAGAACATTATATTTGTAGGAAAATAGCCCCTCTAGCCAGTATAACCAACATGTAAACAAAACATGTATTTGTAGGATAAAATAAAACATTCTATAATCCAAGGTAAAATGCAGAAAGAGAAAGTACTACAAACAACCTGAAGAGACCTTGTGAGTGTTCAGATGCTCTCTCATGGACTTTATCACGGTTTAAATTCTCTCTAGGTTTACTCTAAGGCTTACTGATTCTATTTAGTTGATGTATCACTAGGACAAGATGTTAGATGGAATCACTTCTTAGTTAAAGGGGAAATATAGGGTAATACTAAAAGAACAGGAAGAAAGAAATTTCTCCTAATCTAATATGAGAAAAGCCGGAAACGAAGAGGAAAAGTATGAATTACATAACTTCTCATTAGATGAAAATAAGCAGCAAAAGGTAGACGTGAAGAAAAATCACTGAACTGCTGTTGGTTGCAACTGTAGAGGTCCAAAATGTCTACTGCACAAAGGCATTTGGTTAAAAGGGAAGGTAAAGATCTCACACGGTCCATTGCTGAGCGGGGTTTCCTGTTGCAAGGCAAGATGTGCTCTGTGAAGACTGTTTCTCCTTTTCACCCAAAGTTCCAGTCCACTTATAAGCCATAGAACCATCCACTGGGAGGGAGAACTTGTGAAGTATGAATAAATGCGGAGCTACAGGGAGGCTGTGCAGTCATACCACACCATGCTCCATCCCTGCAGCCTCCAAGCCCAGCCCCTGGGTCCCACTGTGACATCCCGTGAGCTGCAAAGATCCAAACTATCCAACAGCCAGCCTTTCTACAGCATGTTCTTAGACCCTCACAGGCCATTCAAAATTATACTGTGTAATTAGCTTGATAGTAAAGCTCCCTGATCTAAAGCCATCTTATAATTTACGTTCAGCTAAAGGAATCTTTCCATTGCTAATGTAAAGTTGCTACTTAAATTTAGAATATAACTTACTCCTTAAAGTAGGTAAGAGCCACTGCTTTAGTGATTTCAGTTTGAGACCTGCTCCTAATTCCCTTATCAGGCTGCACTCTGAAGACTTGCTAATAGGCGTGGCAGCTATGAGACATGTGCATGAGGAACCCTGTTTCCTAACAGCCTATAATTTGCTCTAATAAGAAGCAAAGAGCTATTCTCTTTGCCCCAAAATTAGGCATGGCATTGTGTGTCCAACTCCACACATCTGTAAGTTTCCTACTTCCCCAAACCCCAAAACTCAGAGACAACAAAGCAAAATTGCTATCAGACTGTATCAACAATGGTTCTTTATAGCCTCTCATATTATGTGCAATACATAACCACAAAATACTGCAAGGCCATTTAGAGGAAAAACTATGTTCTAAGTTTAATTAGATAACTCAAGACATAGGCACAAGACTGCAGGGAATCAAATATCTGCGATAGGCATTCATAAGTTTTTCTCATTTTTATTTAAACACAGTAAGCAACTCTTTCATGGAATTCTCTAATGACTACACCTACAAGCTGTTATTCAGAACTGGACACCACATGTAATAACAGGACAATACATGCTTGGCTTTTACCTCGAATCACGTAACTATCCAGTGCATCTTCCATTCTTTTCAGTGCTTCCGTTCTGTCAGAGCCATACGCGATTAACTATGGGCAACAAACAAAATGTTATGAATAGCCATCTACACATTGGTGGCTCAGTCTAGGAGTAATTTAAATATTTCATAAGAATTCCTCACATTCTTTGAATTTTTCGAAGTCCAGATTTTTATAGAAAATATAGCAATAAAGAGTTCTTTGAACAAACAAGTATGAGAAATTCATGTCTGAATTCTCCTGACATCTACCATCACAGTAAAGGACGAGTATGTGAGAAGAGAAACAAGCACAAAAAAGCTGGAGAGAGAGAGAGAGAGAGAGAGAGAGAGAGAGAGAGAGAGAGATGACGAAGTGGCACAGTACATCAACCTGGCAGGCACTGTAGGCTGGAGAAGACTTTTCTAATTTCCTGGCTTTCTATGGCTTCCAAGTTTGATTTCTAAACAGCTAAAGCTTTGTTAATTTAAAAAAATGAGTAATCTTGTAAATATGAAAGTGAAAAAAAATCTAGACTACTTTTAAAAATTATATCGCTACCCATAACGTAACACAAAAACAAAAGGTGTTATTAAATCCAGGAAGACCTTATTTTAGAACATGATTCTGTGTCTTTTTATATGTAGACTCTATACATTAAGAAATAAGACTAGCTATATTAGGATTTTTCTGATGGTTATGGTCAATTTTATTTTAGTAAATCTTAAAAGTTCTTCAATATAAAGCCAGTTTGAGGAAAATTTGTAGGGCATTCTTCTAAAAGCTGAACGGCACTCATCTAAAAGAGAATCATAGCTAATTCAAAAATCAATTCATGATATTTTATATATTTTTACTTTTAAATTTTGTTTCTCTTATAAGCAAAAGATCTAAAGTTCATTTGAACAATATTAGTGTCAAAACTTAAGTGAATAAGGAACAAAGATTTTTTTTTTTAAAGGCATGTTACTACAGTCACGTAAGAAAGGGGCTAGGGATAAAACTCACAGACAGAGCGCTTGATAAATTCACATGAGGCCCTGTGTCTGATCACCAGCACAAAACCAAAAGAAAACTTTAAAAAAGAGAGCACATGTGGGGGCAAAACATCTTGAGAAACAGAATTTACTCAAGAAAAAAAATCAGTTCTTGATATAAATGTATTTCTGAGGTATTAGATTCTCAAAACCCATGGTTTAACTACTACAACGCTTTATAATTTCAAAATCTTAATATTTTAAAGACTGAGAATTTTAAATACTTTTTAAATAAATTCTGCATACATTTAAAAAATATTTTAATTATTTTTATTTTATGTGTATGCTTGTATTGCCTGCATACATGTAAGTATATCCACCCATGTCCTGCAATGCCCATGGAGGTCAGAAGAGGGTGTTGGATCCCCTGGGACTGGAGTTATGGACAGTTGTTAGCTTCCATGTGGGTGCTGGGATTCAAACCCGGGTCTTCTGCAAGAACAGTCAGTATTCTTAACAGCTGAGCCATCTCTCCAGCCCCTATTTATTATATTTTATTATTTTTATTTTATGTGTACGAGTATATTGCTTGCATATATATGTGCACCTGTGTCATGCAATGCCCATGGAAGTCAGAAGAGGGTGCCAGATCCCCTAGAACTGGAGTTATGGATGGTTGTTACCTGCCATGTGGGTGCTGGGAATCGAGCCCTGGTCCTCTGCAAGAGTAGTCAGTGTTCTTACCCACTGAGCCATCTCTCCATCCCCAAGACTGAGGATTTTAAAGAAGGTTTCTAATTTGCAAAGTTAAAGATGAAAGGGGAAGATGGATAAAGTCATATCTTACACTTTTCTATATAAGTTAGTTTGGTCAGGTGGTGTTTTGGGGGTAGAGGGCCTGTCTGGCACACACCAGGTCCTGGCTTCCATCCATAGCATATAAAACAAACAAAACTCAAGTTAAATCTACTCAAGTTGTAATTTGGAAAATCTGCAAAGGTCAAAAGTATTCTTAACAAACACTGCCTATGGCCCAACATCTCAATAGCACCTGTCACTTACACCACCCTCATACAAAAGGAATGGCAAAAAAAACAAAAAACAAACCAAATTCCCCCTCATTCCTTTTCATTGCAATAGACTGGGCTGCCACCATTGGTTCTACAGAGGTGGCCATGCACACAGGACCACTGGTGGTTGTCACGTGACTTGATTGCAGAGGAGGGAATTTTACATATCTGCATTCACTTTTACATACTTCATAATGATTATGGTCTCTGAACATGGTTCAGAAAAAGGCTCAATTTCAGATCTCTTAAATATGTGCATTGTTTAGAAGAAAGCTCAAAGAAACCATTGAAAAATAGAACTAACTTTTGAAATCATAGGATCATAATAAATGCTGATATCACTTCCTGGTTGGATGCCACTATCAACTCGGACCTGAGAGAAAGAAAGAAAAAAAAAAAAGTGAGCAACTTCATATTGAGTAGATTTTTTATTTAACCACAAGTTATTTTTCCATGGAGATAATGGATGGTAAAGTTCAATCTCATATAACATTCCCTCTCTGGAAAACTGAAAACAACCCCAACATACATAGTTGATCTTTGATCTCTTAATATGCAGTGTGGCACATGAGTTTTGTTCTCCCACTAAATGAAGGAACCATGGGGGAGGGGGAACATTAGACAGCTCTACCCTTGGATGCACCTGCAGCTCGCTACAGCATGCTGGGGTGAAGCTCTTCTAAATTAGGCCCCTTCCATCCCTTAGAATGCCTCCCCTCACTAGCCCCCTGAGCCATAGGAACCAGGCCAGGTTTTCATGTCTGCAACACTTTCCTTTGCTGCTTCACCCTCTCCACTGTGAACGCTATTTTTCTGTTACTGTTAGTCCCCGGAGGCCTTCATGTTTACACAGCTTTTCCTGTGGCTTTGCTCAGTAAAAATACCAGCTCCAATTAGAGTTCTGATTTTGCAATTTTCATGGGGGGGGGGAAATAGCACAAGTTCAAAAAAATCCTTTTGAAGTGTCTGTTAACCAGTGACTAGTTAGTTAGTTAGTTAGTTATTCTAACTTGATTCTTGTTTTCATCTCCCAGTTCGATATTAGTACAACACAGCAGTTAGCCAGTTAAACCTTTTTAAATGAGCAGTTGCTAAGGATTGAGTATTTATTAAATTACTCTGACCAAGTTTTAAAATTTGGGGTATTTAGAAACTAATCAAAATACTTAAGACTGGCCAGCATATCTTCAGGTTAAGGATGGAGGCATGTAATGGAAGCTGCTGGAACAGCAGGACTATGGTGCCCAACACTGTGAAGGAGTGAGAAGAGAAGAGGGAGGCACAGCTCATCACCTGCGAGAAGGAGCCTTCCTCATAAACAGCAGCTCATCTGTCTGTGGCAAGGCAGGAAAAGGTCAACACAGAAGCTGGTAGGCCTTTAATATTTTAATTTACGCAATTATCAAGGGACCACATGTAGAACCTCTTGTCTAGAATACCCACATGAGGGTACAGTGATGGCTTTATTACACACTGACATCAGAAGGTAAGCGAGAGTTTTACTCTCTTTAAAAAAAAAAAAGAATCACACCATTGTTATTCTCTTTGTAAGATTTTTAAATGGGAACGCTGTAACATGGCCAGAGTACTCTTATTTCTATATTTGCAAATGCAAACAAAATATGGATGTGAGTATTCTACATTCCTATATCAAGGACTTAATTTTTAATGAAAGCCACTTAGCATTTTTATAAAATATATTTGACCTTTATTTCCTGAAAACATACTTCAGAATATAAAGAAAATTCTATGAAATTTGGTGTTTGTGAAAAATAGAAAAGAATTAATAGGGCAGCTTTGAGATCAATGAAATTATAATCTATCTTCTCCCAGCACCTAAATGGTCATTGACAATCAGGTTATTTAACAGAAAAGATAGCTTTTCGTTTCAGTACCAAAAAGTTATAGCTAATTTGCTCAGGGTGTCAGCTTTAAAACCATACCTCACTGCTAAAGGCATGTATAACAGCGGAATTGATACAAATCTTTTGACTTTAAATATATCCTAGTATTTGCTACATAAACTGTACAAAATTATGAAGGATCTTTAAGCTCAATCCACTGGTAAAAAAATACAGACAATAAAGAATGCTGATTATATTCTCCTATGGTTCATAACAAAATTTTTATTATCTTAAACAATATCACCCTAAAAGTTAAGTAACCCTAAAGTCTAAGTAACCTATAGCTATGAGATATCTTTGTTATTTACTCACATGACAACCATAGAAAGTATGTAATTTTAATGTAAACATACAGTCAAATCAAGATGTATTACATACAATCAGCACATCCAAGTGAACTAACATTTCCAAAAGAAACTGTAACAAAGCATGAAAACCCTCATTTATAATTTGATGTTTATGCAGGTTTTTCCAAATAATACTCAAACTTTACATCTTCTAACAACGAAGTAAAAGTCAAGTTCAGTGCTCATTCATCTCTGGAAACAAAGGCTACCTAAATTTGCACTAACCACTTTAACAGTAAAATTAAATGGAACTAGAACCAAAATTCTAAGAACACAAATGTCGTATAAAATTATAAACTATGATGATCAAACATCAAAAAGAAAAGCTTCATCTTTTTTCTTTCTTCATCTTTGCCATAATAATAAATTTCAGGCTTAAAGATGCATGTGAAATTCACGTCAGAAGTTAGCGTCTTATGACCAAAAAGGTAAGAGCCAAAAATGGTTTCCCAAGTGAAACTGAGAGATCAAGTTTTAATAAGGTGTGTGGCGGGGGAAGAACCATACTGAAAATATGCAAACACCTTTGCATGAGGTTTTCAAGTCAGCACTCAGAAACCTCTTGCATAATTAAAATTGCTTTCTTCAGCCAAACAGTGGACCCTGGAAACTATCAGGCGTCTCCCACCCTTCATTCTCAATTCACCTCTCCCCCTAAGCACAACTCCCAGCCCGCCATGTCTACCTGACAAGTGACAGCCCAATCTGATTAAATGCTTCCAAGGGAGGGGACTCATGGGCCTCCATGACAGGCCAAAAGTGATCACCATGGAGATACATAATTACAGCTGTCAACGCATCTACTGTCCTGCTGACATCAATTTGATTGCTCCCAGCAATAATGATAGGCAAAGCTTAGTGCGCACTCTCCTGCCCCCAATCACTTTATCTATTCCTTGGTCCATTTAGCTGACATGCAACATTCACACAAGCAAATAACAGCAGTAAGCAGAACATTTAAGGCATTTTAATTGTTTTTTCTTTCTATGGATGGCTCACAACTGCAAATGTTATTACATAAAACTCCTGCTGCAGCATTAATTGAAGAAAGATTTGGTGGGACAAAACTGTAGGGGGTAGAGTTTGTCCATTATCACTTGTACTTTCAACAGGTCTCACGTTTGAAAATTGCAAATTGCAAAAACTTGCGAGGGCAAAATGTTTGACACTCTGTTCGCTATTACAACATGGTGGAAACTTCTAACAACTAGAGTAGTCATTATGGATTCTTATTTAAGGCTTTTTTGTTTGATTAAAAAAGTGTTTAGATATGTCCCTCTGATACTGGTTTTCTTGTCTGCTGTTTAACGTCACATAATGCCTGTTAAATCTTTACAATTTTTTTTTCTGCCTTCAGGCTTTGAACACAGCATGGAGTCTCCAAGCCTAGAGAGGGTCAAGTCCCTTTAGAAAGCACATGGACAAAAACAATTTAAAAAGTGAAATAAATCATATATCCAATAACATCTTCAGATTTAGAATTCTTCCTATAATCTTTCACCATCTTCTAAGCAGTAATCAAACTGAGTAATCATATTCACAGATGGTACAGCCTTGTCACCCACTAGCTAACATAATGTCATCTATATGTGCACTTATTACCTTGATTAAGAGAAAGGGTACATGCTTGTTCTTTTTATGTAAGAGAACTATTTGAAGGGCAGCTATCAGCAACAGAATATCTACCAAGCAAAATGCACACTGGTCCTTTTTCTTAACTGACGTAAATATATATTTCTAAAAGTCAGTGACACTGACTAGAATGAGGTACGCTTTGTTCTCCTTAATCCAGTCCAGTTAATGAGCCGATTTTGCGCTCGAGTTTATTGACATCTGAATACACCAGGGAGCTGGATTAGAATTTTTTGAAAATATTATAATTTTAACACAAAAAGCCATTTCCCATTCTTAAGATTCCATAATCTTTTACACTATAAGCTATGATTTATATCATTAAGCGTCTCTGAACTTTCCATATCAAGTAGATTCTGATGTTTCTGAACACCATAAAGTACAAAAAAAATTCAAAAACTGACTCCCCATGAATTTCCCTTGTTCTTCAATTTACACCCTTTAGTGTTGACATGCTTTAACATAAAAGTATGGCATAAATCAAGATTTGAGCCCCTCAGTTGGTATGATAGCTTAATGACTTACACCAGGTAGATGTATTGGTTCTTGGTACTGAGACAATCTTCCAATAGATGGCAAACCAAAAGACTTGTAGGGGTCCTGGAAGTTCAAAGGAAAGGAAGAACAGTCTTTGAAATATAAATCTGCACAAGGAAGGTTAAACACAATTTTTAAAAAGTATTTACAGGTCTATTTTTAACATATGGTATTTACCAAATCACAGATTTCAGAATATGACTGTCTTATCCTCTGGACAACTTAGAAGTATATTTAAAAACTAAACAGAACTTCAAGCAGAATTTAGCCTGACCTCAATCATACTTTATTGAAGTTGGTAAAATTCCAATTTTTTATAAAACTTCTTAGAATGCCTTGGGCAAAAATAAAATAACCTAGGCTCTACATCAAAACATACTCAAGTTCAGAACAACAAATGTGGCACACCAAAGATATTTGTTTTTCTTACTTCTCAAAACAGCTCACATATGGTAAAACTAAGAATCTGGGTTCTTCAGGCAAAGACTCAGAAAGAATCCGCCTGCTTCTAGACACGCATGCTTCTGGAAATATCATCAAGCACAGAATCATTGACTTCAGTATCTCCCCACTCCACATGTGATTACGAGTAGCAATGGCAAGGCAAGACATGTTTCTGAGCTACTTAAAAAGCATTTTGAAATAACTTTCAACTCTTAAACAGAGGTATCACTGATTGGCCTTTTTATATGAACATGTCTTTTTTTTTTTTTTTTTTTTTTTTTTTTTTTTTTGTCTTTTTGAGGCAGGGTGTCCCTGTAGCCTAGGCTGGCCTGGAGCAATATGTAGACCAGGCTGGCCTTGAACTCACAGAGATCTGCCTGCCTCTGCCTCCCGAGTGCTGGGATTACCACCACACTCATCTATGAACAGATCTTTTTAATGTCTAAAAGTAAAAGATGATACAAATGTTACCTTGCATTCTTGTTTTAGTCATTCAAAAAAAGCATTTTTAGATGGTCACTCTGTTATCTTATTTGTGCACTTAAACTATTAAACTAAGACTTTGAGCAAAACACATAATTAAAATTTTGAATCAACAGTATGTGTTTTACCAAAAGCTTTACAATTTAGATTTCAGGTATGTATGGCTCCCGAGTAACCATAAAGGACAAAATTAGAAGAAGAAAAAAAGTCGAAGAAATAAATATCAAACCAACAATTACCATGAATCCAGGAAAAATGCTTTTCAAACTGCACAGGAAAAAAGTGGCAGCACTGCACTATTGTTGGTAGGTGGTCCGAACACAAACAGGTGAGCAAAACAAAAACCAAGGCCAATTCACACTCGAGAATACCTAACTCATCTTTTGCTGCCTCTTAACACGTGGATAGTGACTTCCCCACCCAGAAATACTTGAGAATTAAAGCTAGAGGTGGCTGGTCCTCTTGCACAGGATCCAGGTTCAGTTCCCAGTACCCACATGGCAACTGACAACTGTCTGCAACTCCAGTTCTAGGGGGATCTGATGCCCTCTTCTGGCCTCCGTGATCATTGCACAACATGGGTACACATGCAGGCAAAACACTTATACATGTAAAATAAAAATAAGTAAATTAAAAAACTAAAAACAAAAATACATGAGGATTGATTGAACTGCATTCTGTTTTGAATTATAGCAAAATCGTCTAGTGCTGTTCTGCTTTGACCACAGAGTACCAAGCCCTAACTTTACCTGTGGTTTAGCCACACTAGCCATTCTGACTTGCAAAGAACCACCCTCCCGCCTCCCATCAGCAGGCATTTACCTCAGCATAAACCCGACATTCAACTGCCCAGCCGTTGATGGGAATATCAGCTTGTTTGTGCCTGAGAGGGTAACCCTTAGCAACACGGATCATTTCTTGGACTAAGTCCAGGCCAGTAATGCATTCTGTGACAGGATGCTCAACCTGCAAGGCCAAGATGTACCAGTTAGTAGGAGAAGAAAAAGCAAATAAATGGACATAAATAAGAAAAATTTCAAACATTTCCAAGTAAAGTGATGTTAATTACATTTAATATTTAGGAAGGCTTGACTAGAAACCCTCAGTGAGATAAATAAAAAGAAACATAGCTCTGTACACCAACAATGGTAAGAAGAACCTCTGAAGAGTCTTTGTAAATTTTTGCATCCCTTTCCTGATTTTGATGCACTTATGGCCCAATATGTATGTAATAGTTGTGTTTGGAAACTGGTTCTCAGCTGAACAACACATTTATTTTGCCTCAGTTCTCAACGTGGCTGCTGATCAGCCTATTCTGCTACACTTAACATGGCATCTCTCGGGGAAGCTTCTGATTTTCTAAAGCTCTCATCTAGTCTGAGTCTTACCCATTGCATGCTTTCACTAACCTGTCCTGACAAGCAGCCAGATTAGCGTAATCTTGCATCAATGCACCAGCGTAGCAGAAAGCAGCAGATGGAGCCATCAGGTTGCCTCCCCCCTTCAGGTTACCTCCCCAAGACCAGCTTGGGCAGTGCTTAGCATGCACAATGGTAAGGGGAGCAGGGGAAGCCACTCTGCTCGCTCGGCAAATTGCTGATAACTACTTCAGCTGATCCTGTCATGGGAGTACCTGCCCTTCCACACTAACACATGGGATACATATGTGCAAAAACATGCAACTGACATACAGGCATGTGAACAAGGATGCGTATCATTATAATTTGATTGACCACTTAAAAATTCTTAAACTCAGGTTTTAAAAAAGCCACTTAAAGAACCAAGAAAGAATTCATAACCTTTCATCTAAAAACTCAAATAAGTTTTTTAAAATTTCAATAAAACTTTGGCCACACTCTATTACTTTGATATTAATTTCTTTCTTTATAAAAATTAAGTTCTAAATGTAAGTCAGAATAGTTTCATTATCATAACATGTTAGGTTCCATACACGGACAGAGGAAAAGGGCAGTGAACAAACGAATTATCTTCCCTGCTACAACTGCGCTAATTGAAGGACAGGGCTTAGTCATTATAATAATCTTGAAGCTTATCATAAGCAGACAATGCCATGGTCTCAAAAAAAAAAAAAAAAAAAAAAACCTTGGCAAAAATAAACAGATGGCATCCATAATTAGCTCTGTGTGTGTTATGAGTTTGTTTACAGTTTCAACAACATTTTAAGACATTTTGACATAATTTTAATGACAAATCATTGCTAAAATAAGCACCTACCCTTTGTAAAATAAATGTGACACTAAATGAAGATCTTATTAGATAGTTTATATATTTAAAACCAAATTCTAGTTTTCTGAGGAACAAGATTCCATAAGTATAAAAAGAAATAGTGTAAAGCCCTCTTGTTACTCCTCAGAACCAATTTCAAGTACATAGGTACCTTGGCATGCAACTATTCAAGGTGCAAACTTACTATGTGTCAGACAATATTTGTTTACACAACCTTGTAGAAATAAATCTTTAGTTAAGTGAAAGATTCAATTTTCTTTTTATATGATCAGAAAGCATTACATAAAAGGCAAGTAAGTAAATATGTATGCATGTGTACATATATATATAATACATGTATTATATGTGTGTTTATATACATATAGAACACGTGTGTGTGTGTGTGTGTGTGTGTGTGTGTGTGTCATGGAGCAGAGAGAAAAATCTGGTCATATGTAGTAAGAGGGAGAAGGGAGCCCAAAATTTCTACCACTCCAAAAGCTGGTGTCACCTTCCCATTCGTCCTCATGATAAAATGTATATAAAAACATAAAGGGAGGGCTGGAGAGATGGCTCAGCAGTTAAGAACACTGGTTGTTCTTGCAGAAGATCCAGGTTCAAATCCCAGCACCCACATGGCAGCTAACAACTTTGTAACTCCAGTTCCAGGGGGCTCCGACAGCCTCTTTTGTCCTCCTTGGGCACTGCACAACACAGGTGCACTTACCTACAGGCAAGCAATACATATACATATACACATAAAATAAAAATAATAAAGAAAATATTTTTTAAAAACATAAAGAGAAACAACTATATAACTGTGTGCTATTGTCTTAAAAATTCTATTGTGTTTAAAGATCCAACTTTATTATGAGGCTATGTTTTTCCCTTAAAGCATATAATTCTATAACTGTGTAGAAAAAGAAGTGCATTACATCCACTTAGAATGGGATTCAAAATGAACCTACTTTGTTCCAAACAGTGTATATGATGAAATATAACACCACATTTTACAATTTGAAATTAGCGAACTACAAATAATTCAAAACATAATTAAGTAGGTAACAAAAATAATAACCAACCTGTAAGATATAACCATTACTTACAGGATCTATTCTAAGTCCACAAAATAGTTTAGCATACCTAAATATTTCTTATAAATGAAATGCATGTTCTTCATAGTAAAGCTTCTAATTTTTAGGATTTTAAAAAGAAACTTATGCAGACACAGAATCCCAATGTCACTCAACAGTACATATGCCACACTTCCTTTAAATCCACACTTCTAGTCCTGCCAAGAATCTTGGACATGTGATGGCCATTCTCTTCATCCAAAAACTTAGCAATACCTCCTCTCTGCAAATTAAACTCAGTACTAAGGGGTGGGAACAAGACATACAAAGGATCATGATGGTTCTTGAGCCAAAATACAATTAAATAGATGTCTTAAAAATATCTTTAGTGTTTGGAGGGGAGGAGAGAAGGAAAATGACTAAAAATTTATTTAAAAATTTAAAGACACAGACTAATGTCTGGTCAGTCAAAAGTTTAGCTTGTCATACCAGAAAGCAAAAACAAAAACACAGTTCCCTGATGCCAAAAAAAATTATCTGTTCCAAGGGCTACTCAGAAGAACTGCGGCAGTCACAGAACCTGTGATCTTACTCTGTAGCCCAGGCTGTGGAACTCACTATATAACCAGTGACAATCCTCCTGCCTCAGCCTCCCATGTGCGTGGACTGCAGGAGTATGTTACCATGCCAAGTACTTCCTCCTTCTCTGGAAGTCTTTAAGAGTGAGAATTCCATGGAATATGCTTCTGGAAAGAATGCTTCACAATGGAAAATGGAACTCCCTTAGTGTGACTCCACCCCCACTGCACAAATGTTTGAGATCCTGGCTTCCTGATTTTTCTACCAACAGAAATTTGCTTGTTCCAAAACACAATGAATAACAGATAGTAAAAAATTTCTGCCTGAAAGATTTATGAAGGTGTTGCCACACTGTGGGGTCTATTAGTAGTTGGCAAATCAGTTTGCATTGGCTATACCTCTAGCTCACCATGAAAACCTATAAAATGCCCTAGCATGGGGCATAACTGTTAAGTGTGTTCAGAGAGTAGCAGATGTCACAAATGGTTAGCTTCTTACAAATCTACTTGTTAGGGGAGTTTTCTCATTTTTTTTATTACATTTATTTATTTTGTGTGTGTGCATTTACCATGAAAATGTATGGAGGTCAGGGGACAATTTGAAGGAATTGGTTCACTTCTTCCACCACATGGGTCCTGGAGCTCAAACTCAGGTCTTCAGCATGGCACCAAGTGCCTTAGCGTGTTCAGCCATCTTGACAGTCTTCTACTTGCTAATTTAAACTTGGTTTTGTCAGAGTGGCTACACACCTGCAGGCTCAAGTATTCAGGAGGCTGAGGCAGGAGACCTGTTTATGCTCACAAGTTCAAAGCTCACCTGAACAACTCAATAAGACCCCACTTTAATGAATAAACCATAAACAAATGAACTTGGATGTCATCAATGTCAACAGTATCTCTAGGTCTCCCTGCCACTCTCTCTTTCTTACATGTTGCTACCAAATTTATATCCACCCCAACTAACTAAGTGTCAAATGCAACTGTGAGGAAAATTAGGCTTTTCTTTATCTCTGAGTGTTTAATTCAATAGTAAATGTAATCTAGAACCCTGAACCAGAATTTTTTCTTACTATAAGAAGCCTTGGTGAACCTAAGGTGAAATGTGAATATAATATATGGATTGCATAATAGGAATTGGTTAATGCTACAATCCTGATTTTGGTAGATACTGCGACTACATAAAAAATAGTTCCACCTCCCTCTGCTTCCCTGGGCTACACAACTCGCCAGCCTCTTTCCTGGGTAAGTCCAGCCATGCCCAACACACCTTAACTCCCCCAGCCTCATTCACCCTTCCACCTCCCCCACCCGTCTCTCCTCCTAGCCTGGGTACTGTCTGTCCCATTGCTTGTCTTGACACCCCAGACACTGGGGCTGACCTCTTAGCCGGGAAACACCACTGCTTCCTGATCCTTTGTATCCAGACCAACCCACCAGTTCCTTCTTAGGGTCCCCAGGAGCCCTCTGGGCCTGGTCTCACCCTCACCTTCCTCTGCTTCCCTGGGATGCGTAACCCACCATCCTCTCTCTCCTGGGTAAGTCCAGTGGAGCCCACAGCACCTTGACTCCCCCAGCCTCATTCACCTGCCCAGCTCCCCCACCCCATCTCTCCTCCTAGCCTGGGTACTGGCCCAATTCTTGTCTTGGCACCCCAGACACTGGGGCTGAATGCTGGGCTCGGAACCACCACTGCTTCCTGATCCTTTGCATCCATACCAACCCAGTTCCTTCTCCAGGTCCCCAGGAGCCCTCTGGGCCTGGTCCTGCCCTCACCTCCCTCTGCTTCCCTGGGTGGCACGGCCACCAGCTTCCTGAGACCAGCATTTTCCAGGATGCTGCTCCCAGGCCAGTCCAGCCCCCAAATTCCAGAGGACAACATCTTTCCTGGAGGGACTCTGACCTCAGGAGAAAGCCTAAGAGCATCTGATCCTCATCTGACTTGGGCCTCTGTGGGAACTCCTGAAGATGAAAGCAATTTGGCCACTCCAGTATAAAATCAAAAGAGAGAACCAGAAGCTTAGAACAACCAGCTTTTCATGCCCAACAAGTAAACCACAAAGTCACATATACTTAACAAAAACAAGCAGAC